TCTTTTGCCTCCTTTCTTTCTTCTTGTGTATCTCTCTAAGAGTCTTACCACAAAATTAGGTTAAGAGACTTTATATAGTGTCTCACTAACCCCAAGGCCCAATACAAATCTCATGGATAAATATCAATGGCCCAACTTCCAAGTTTGGTTATCACCAACCAAACCCAATGGGTTTCCTCCATCTAGAAGGAACCCAACACTTCTCTCATTTTCCTGAATCCCAGAAACCACTAAGATATTTTCATTTGCAGTTCGCTTGAGCTCTGAACGAACAGGGTTCAAGACTCATAACACTAAAGTCTGTTTACTTGATCAAAGATGCTGGGAGATTTCATTACAAGAATCATAATGTTAAAGACCATTTCTTACTTCATCTGGTAATAAATGTCAGTTTGGTTTTGTTTCTGAGTTTTTTTTTTGTTCTTTTTTTCTTTTGAAGATTGCTTGTGGGTTACGCTTACCCAGCATATGGATGCTACAAATGCGTGGAAAAGAAAAAACCTGAGATTCAAGAACTTCGATACTGGTGCAAGTATTGGTAAAGCTCTTTTTCTTAAGATAAGGAATCTGATCCTATAGCACCATCGTATCTAAAATTCGATTCGATTTTTGCAGGATATTGGTGGGTATTCTTACCGTTTTCGAAAGGATAGGAGACATCATTGTATCATGGTGAGCACTTGTTAGTAACTGTAAAATCTCCCATCAATACATTCTGAAATGATTCTATATTTGTCAAAATCTTAGGTTTCCACTATACGGTGAGATGAAAATCGCTCTTCTTGTCTGCTTATGGTACCCGAAATCACAGGTACACTCCAATGCAGTAAACTATCTCTTCATGAAACATTCATTAAAACATTAATTAAAACTTTCTGATAGGGGATTAGCTACGTCTACGAGAAGCTTCTATGTCCCTACATGTCAAAACATGAACTGAACATCGACCAGGGAATTTTAATTCTAAAGATCCGAGGACATACTGTAATAGTCCATCTATTGCAATATGGCTATCAATGGACTTTGCAAATGTTTAGACATATGCAGCAACAATTCGACAAGGTATGTAAAGGAAAAACAAAAAGATTCGTTTTCACGAAAACAAGAAACCTTTTTAATTGTACAAGAACCATTCACTTCTTGTTCTGCAGAAAAATGAGCGATCAAAGTCGAAAGAGAGACACAAAGCAGGAACCTCAACCTCGTTCATGTTTCTCCGTTAGCTGTTGCAAAAGGACAGAACTAAAGTGTGTCACCGTATTCACAATAAACCGGTTTGTAATAACCGGTTCAGAATTTTGTAAAGCCAAACCGGTGATTGACACAGAAATCGAAATCTCTTTAAATTGAAATCTTTTTTGAATTATTGTATACAAACACTTGTGTTCGTCGCTATTTAACAATCCGAGGAACACAAACTGATTGTAGAATCCAACCAAACACACGTCTCAACAACTCCACACCAGCAGCGACGTAGAGCCACACACAACCAGCCGAATCCTCCGACGAAGTCTGCGCCGTGGCCTGTAGATAAGACCGAGCGGCTTGCTTAACGAGCGGGTCGCGGATCGAGATATCTCCGGATAACACGGGAGAGCTGGCGCCGTTAATGGACGGTAGCTTGACGGAGGAGTTACTCGGAGAGGAGGAGATGATGTCTCTGAGAGATGTGTAGGCGACGAAGGAAGGTGGTTTTATGGAGATGAGGTCGAAATCGAAAGAAGACGATGATGGCGTTGAGGAAGATTCGATTGCGAAAGGGATGTCGGTGGTGATGAGAGGTGTTGGTGTGGCGATGGAGATTCTACGGCGGAGTGGAGTTGACGGCGGAGTCTCCATAGTTTTTTTTTTTTGGGTTTGTTTTTGGTGTGAAGGAAGAATAGGTTTTTTTGTGGCTGATTGGGTATCTGTGTAAATATGAGGTCTTAATTCAATTATTGATGTGTATAATATGTTAATATTTTGTCACTATCATCTGTTGTATTTAATATAATAATTGAGGGTTTATTTTTTTTTTTGTATTTTCTGAATTATTCTGGTTGGTGCTGGAGACCTATTACAGAATAGAACAACTGTTTATATTTTTCTATTTCTGTTTTTATTTGAGTGCCTTCACTGTATATTTTTTGCTAATTATAAGCAAGGTTTATATACAGAAAGAAATATATTAAAGAAGTGAATGTGAAGATCAGATGAAATATATTACGAATCAAACCAACCATAATGATCGTTATTATACTCTATCCGTAATCAATCAATTAAATTATCTTTTTCTGTCAACAATTTAAATTTATCTAAGAAGATTGACAAAAAAAAAGAAAAATCTAAGAAGAAAATATGATTCCATTGCTAGTTTAGGCACTGAACGAGTTAATAAAAGAAAACATGATCATGAAAGTCGATTTAGAACAGATTCGCACCGGCATCTTTGAGCAAGTGGTTTAGGGACACCTGGTTTAGAAAAGAAGCTCGACTCCAAGTAGCAAATGATGGGCCTAGAACAGTATGACTTTAACATATACAGTAATTGATCATTGAGGTTAGTCCACTTATCGCTACAATATTCGCCTCAGCATGTTTGGTCAAGTAGTTAAGGGCCATCTGGGTCACTCAGAAGCTCGACTCCAAGTAGTAAAGGAACATTGGGCCTAAACCAGTTGGGTAAATGGGCCTTTAAAATAGAATTGAGCATGACACTCATCACAACAATACGATGACGTTCTAGCAACTTTCTCTATCCGCTTTGCGTCTGTCTCTCTCACCTTTGAATATTTCTCCCCACCTCACACTTAACATCAGAAGACCCCTTTTTGGTAGAGCACTGTGGAACCAAGTCACACTGAGAGAGAACAGAGTCCTTTTAAGTCAATGGCGTCCTTAGCTTCATCCACAACCCTTATATCTCCCTCTAGGGTTCTTCCTTCCAAGCCTTCTCTTTTATCTCCAGCAACCTCTTTACTCCGTACTCTTCCCTCTACCTCCGCAACAACGTGTTCTCTCTTCTCCGGTTTCTCCTGCATCAGTCCCCTCACCTGCAACCGCTCCTCTTCTCGCCGTAACTTCGCCGTCAAGGCCCAGGCCGTAAGTAACTTGCAATGCCTTGGCTTTTCTCGTGTTTGCTTAGTCTACTCATTCAATGTGATTGTAGAAGGAACTCGGTAGCTTATTAGGATTTAAAGATTTGTTTTTTTTATCACTTTCTGTCTTAAATTGAGCAACATTTTGTTCTACCATTTTGTTAGAATGTATATAAAAGTTAGAAAAATGGTTTAGAATTGCTCTGTTTTAGTGAAGTTAGTTGGGAAAATGAAGATTGTGATAGATGTTTAAAGAGAGCTTTGTTAATTCAGCATGATTTGTCACTGTTAAGGTTCAAAGCTTGGATTTTTTAAGGAAAAGTTGTCACTTTCAGAGTTGTACGACCGTGAATTGAGCTACAATTTAGTCAGATATGAGTGTCATGATTAAGAATGCTCTGTTTTTTGTATAACTGATTCACATTTAGCTGCTACACCAAGTCTTTTGATCCCCCTTCTTAATGAATAACGAGACCAGTTAAGAGTGTATTTGTGTGGAAGAAGTTAACAAGTCTATGATCAATGCGTAAACAGAGCTTATTTCATCTTGTGAATTCAGGATGATTTGCCACTGGTTGGTAATAAGGCGCCTGATTTTGAGGCAGAGGCTGTTTTTGATCAAGAGTTCATCAAGGTACACTTCAGTCTCCTCCATATAACATTTTTAGACCATATCTTCTGCTTCTAGTTAGTCTTGAGTCATAAGCTAAGGTCAATGAATACTCTGTTGTTGAAAAGGCTAAACTTTGTTATGGATGTATCATGGTTTTCAGGTGAAGCTCTCTGAGTACATTGGTAAAAAGTATGTGATTCAGTTTTTTTACCCGTTGGACTTCACTTTCGTCTGCCCTACAGGTTAGCATTCTGCTCAGGAAGTAGTTTGTAACTGAAAGTCTCAGCCAACATGATTCACTGTATTCTAATCTTCTCTGGTGTTTTAAATTTTTGCAGAGATTACTGCCTTCAGTGACCGTTATGAAGAATTTAAGAAGCTAAACACCGAAGTGTTAGGTGTCTCAGTCGACAGTGTGGTAAGTCAATAGTTTTGTTTTCATTTCTCAATTCAAGAGTCTCTGCTACAATGTAACATTTGTCTTTGTTTTTTTATTTAGTTCTCGCATCTTGCGTGGGTCCAAACAGACAGAAAGTCAGGAGGACTTGGTGATCTGAACTACCCACTTGTCTCGGATATCACTAAATCCATTTCAAAATCTTTTGGAGTGCTCATCCCTGACGAGGTAAAAGATACTATCTTCTGAAACTTTGGGATCATACATATACTGGCATCAAGTCCAATACACTTTATGTTCTTTGAAGTGTTTGTTTTTTAAAGACAGATTTTTTTAGCCACTATAAAGTCTAAGCATTGCTACACGTGTAAATGCAGGGCATTGCACTGAGAGGGCTTTTCATTATTGACAAGGAAGGAGTCATACAGCATTCCACCATCAACAACCTTGGTATTGGCCGAAGCGTTGATGAGACTATGAGAACCCTCCAGGTAAATAAAAGAACAAAACATCTCTGAGAGAGAGTGACACACACATTTGAGGCTTAAGGTTTGGATTCATGATGTTCTTGCAGGCATTACAGTACGTTCAAGAAAACCCTGATGAAGTCTGTCCTGCAGGATGGAAGCCCGGGGAGAAATCGATGAAACCTGATCCCAAGCTGAGCAAAGAGTATTTTTCAGCCATTTAAAAAGCTTTCATATAGAGGACATGTTTATCTTTTACTATGTTGGAGAGTTCAATTCGTTTAATTTTTGCCAAAAATAAAAAATTTGTTTGAAAGTCTTTGCGATGCCTTCATTTCTTATGATTATGCCATGTGATTCTCCTGAAAATTTGAATTAAGAATAATAAAAATTTAAGTGTTTCTCTCTGTTTAAGTTTTCACTTGTGTAAATGGTTTAGAATAAAGCAAGGAGGCAGAGTGTTTGACCTTCCAAAACATATAAATTAGAAAAAAGCATGCCAGATCAGGTCTTTGGATTTAAACTTTCATATTGATTTTTTTAATGCAAGTGTTTTAAAAGCTGATCATCCACATCTTTAACAGACAACAATCTCATGTTGTATATACGTATACGTTTACTAGGAATATTCTCTAAGTTCGATCCTGAATTAGTATCTTATGAAGTAGTGTATAATTAAAATATTTTTTGGAAAAATATCCAAATTAAGTATATACTTGGACACCAGAAAAAGCTAGAAAATGACTATATATAAATTATAAAATATACAAAAGAAAAGGATAGTTTTGTCATGTCTTGATAATAGGCACTATCCTTAACCGTTAACCAAAATGTACAAAAGACAAGTGGGGGGGATGATAGTGTTTGGTATATACGCGGTTCAGTAGTTACCCACGTGGTTTATCCACTTCACACATTAAGCCCCCCTTACAAAATAATGTTATCCAAACGACCCCAATACATTTTTTTGTCTACTTTCCGAACTTTTCTTCTGATATTATAAAAAAACTCCAATTCCGCTGTACACTTAACTTCTTTTACCCAAAAAAAAAACTTCCAACTAAACATATTTAATTTCCTCACGTAGCAACCTCTGAACCCGGTACATAACTGAGCCGGTCCACTTCATCCCAAACCAATTTTGACGTTATCTCGTCGAACTCCGGTTCATATTCCTACAACAACAATTTAGACTAAAATCAATAAACCTAAACCATGTAAAAAGGTTATTACTTATCTGTAAATGTTCATTATATAATACCTCGAGTTGTCGAACCAACTCTTTAGCGTTTGGTGCAGAGACGATGATTCTACGAGCCATCGGTGATATAAATCCTTCGTCCACGGCCTTGTCTATAAACGTCAACAGCGAGTTGTAGTAACCATCCACGTTAAGAAGACCCACCTTACAATAATTATTCAGAAACCACATATTTAGATAGTAACATATAAAAAGATTACGACATGGGAAGCTTCCGGTCTCACAATCAGGGTTATGTAGTTGTACGTCGGGACAACACATCGTTTTTTTATATTCATGCAAAAATATTTATATATATATAATTAGAACGTTACATGCTCTTCAAATGTGTACAGAAAAAGGTTAAGCAAGAATAAAGAATCCCAAAAGGAATCTTGCTCCATGTGATTATTACGACGTACCATATGCAACCATTTGTATCTTCATTCAGTGAGATTAAACCAAGACATTATATAGAAATAATACACCACAGGTTTAAAATAAGAGAAAAAAAAAATAATTCAACACGCATATTCCGGTCGTGACAATAATGCAAATTCATGTCATCTATATACTTTTAAAGAAGTTAAAAAGCTAACTTTTATTTCTTTGATTACGTACCGGCTTACGGTGGATTCCGAGTTGAGCCCATGTAATGACTTCCAGCAATTCTTCCAACGTACCATACCCACCTAACCATTTACCAAAATATTATTCCAAGCATTTTAGATCTATTTAGCAAAAAAAAAAAAAGCATTTTAGATCTTAATACATTTTTCTTACGTAATTCAGTTAAATACATTTAGAAAAAAATTGGATTACAAACCAGGAAGAGCAATGAAGGCGTTGGCCTGACGAGCCATCTCGGCTTTTCTTTGATGCATATCAGCGACGGCTTTAACTTCTCCGATGGTTTCACCGGTTATCTGCAACATATTAACAACATATTAATATATATTTCTCTTTATAGTGACCGCTAATATGTGAACACCGCAAATATCTTATATATTGTATTGTATATGGTCTTTTTGTTGTGGGATATATTGCATAAAAAATGTATTAGTTGGTCAAGGAGATGTATCGTGAAGGAAACCAGTAAAGGCTTCAAGTCTCAATCATTCCCATTTTGGTCCTACCACTATTGTATATAGATCATTGCAAGGCAATTTCTATCTCAATAGCTCTAATTAAATACCAAGTCCAACAAAAAAAGGAGATTCATTCAAATTTGGTGTATACCTCTCTCGGCATCAAGGTTTTTGGGATGACCCTACAAGAGATTAGAGAAGAAACAGGTTAATAATGACTCAATCACAATACCAAACTGCCCTCTTAATCTATAAACAATTAGGGAAATGAAACTTAGTTGACTATTTTGGTTATAGATAATTGAGATGGGATTCTCTCATAATACCCACATACCACAGAGGCACACACACATAAGAAACTAGTTGCAGCTTATTTTTAGGTAATAATTTTTAAACCGAAGACACTCTTGGAGACATGCACAGATCCTTGTTTGTCGTTGTTATGTTTAACTCTCTTATTAGATTCAACTTTTCTCTTCGAATGGATCAATAGGCTATAATCTATTACCAAATTCTACGGCCCGATTCTATGTGACAAATAATAGGTTAAGTTAGCAAGTACTAGGCATCATGTAGATAGTCATCATCAACAGTTATATTTTTAAAACACAATGATGAGTAATGGGGTACTTGGAACTAGCAAATGCATCATAGCATTTGGATAGAGAGAGAAAGAAAAAGGAGAGAGAGAGAGAGAGAGAGAGAGAGAGAGAGAGAGAGAGAGAGAGAGAGAGAGAGAGAGAGAGAGAGAGAGCAAACCCTAGAACATGGCGACCACCATGATGAACAGCCTGAGAGACGAGACCCATAAGCCCCACGCTTCCACCTCCGTATACCAAATCAATCTTTCTCTCCACCTTCAACCAAAAACCCACCATCAATGCTTTAGTTAATTATTATTACAACACCATATACATTTATTAATGATAAATAGCATTTTAATGATGAAAATGAACACTTGTCGCAAACCCAAATCCACAATCGATCACAAAAAGCAGCAACCACATCAAATATCAAATCACAATTAAGAAAAGAGGAAAAATAGTTCATCATCATCAATCCTAATCTCATTGGTCACTATCCTATTAATACTACTTTTATTACCTATAGATCAATCACAATAGTTATTACAAGGGGGTTCTAATTAATTTTTTTTTTTAGTTTTGTATTGTTGAAGAAGTACACCCCACAACACACGCTTTGTAGTCATTATTCTTCCAACGATATTTTTTTTCTGGCCCCTCGAGGCAATAAAAACTGTCATTATTATTTATCTTCCCCGTAAACAAAATCATGGAAACTTAAGATTAGGTTTAAGAAAAACCATAATAACCCTCAGAGTTCTAGAAAAACAAGATGTGTGTGTGTAATAATGGAAATTCCTGATAAATAAAACAAAAAAATATAAAAAAAAATAGATCATGCAAGAGTGCTGCTCGAGTGACAGACGGGTTACAGCTAATAATAGTAGAAGTTGCTATTTTCTCATCTCTCTTTCATGCCAATAACAACAAAACTTAACATAAATTTTAAAATTCAGCTAAATAAAAAAAAGGAAAATAAATAAGCATCCACACGTTTTGATTCATCATTGTTCGTTGCAACACACAATCAAAACTCACAATACATAATATTCCAGAGAAGATTCTGAGTTCATATCTCAAATCAAATCTTCATTCCAGAATTCATACTAAGTGCTACCAGAAACCTTTCAATCAATCAGCATATTCACAAACAAGAGTCACAGATTGCTTTACTCTAAACGTCTCTTTACTTACAAATGAAAGAACTAGGTGTTAAGGAATGTACATCTGTTTAAGCTATGATTATGAATATGAAAGTATATGTGTATGTGTATGTGAAAAGTATACATATAAGCTTGAGAAGAGAGAACGTACCAATTCGTTACCCAGCTGAGTGGCAGCTTCTTGGTAAGAAGGTTTGTTGCCGGAACTGCTTCCACAGAAGACACATATCCTCTTGAATCTTGATTTTGTCTCTTCCATATCTCTCACTTTTCTTTCTTTCTTTCTCTAGAGCTTAAAAGTTGATTTTTATGATTATTATGATGAATGAGACCACACTTTGGTATTGTGTTCGTATTTATATATGTGGAGGAGGAGGAGAATATAAATGCAAATGCGATTCCCATGGGCACCCCTTTTAATTAATTATTATTCATCTTTTTCTGCATTTTTATTTTATTTTTTTGTGTTCTCTAGCGAATAATTAATAAACTTATAAGCTATCAATTCGTAGTTTGAATACTTCATTGGAAACGCTACAACACGGCTACCATATATTTATATCTTATTTATCCAGCAACTTAATTATTAAAAATAATCTTTAGTTCTATTATAAGTTAACACCAACAAAATGTTATTATCATATTACTATATAGTTCTTTGAAAAGTCATTTTATGTCTTTATACGGCCGTGATCTATAGTATAATCACTAATTTTATTTAAATTATATACATTTCTGTGGAAGGATTAGATTAGATCTATATCACAGGTTGGAAGATCTGTTCAGATTTTGCATCTGAATAGTTCAACAGAACTAGAACTCACGGATCGAAATCTTATATACAAACATTTCATCAAGATTGTGTAAGTAAACTTGTTGTATATATCTGTTTAGCTAATACTGACCGGGTCTGGATCATATCAGATTAGTCTAACAATCTTTTACATTTCCACGACTCTAACTCACGTAGTTTACAGAACTACTCGTGTATCGGTGGTTTTCTATTTCGTTAATAATAGATTAATTACTTACATTATCAATGAAATATGAAGAGTTGTTTCTATAATAATGGATTAAAAGCCTCGCGGGATGTCTCGTAATCGCTAGTTTGATTCTTCACGTCATTATCAAAGTTCCACCCGCTAAAGCAATAGTACCTTCCCCGTATTCACACATCAATACATTTAAATAATACTAGATACTTTACTTGTGTATTTATACCTAATTCACGAGTCATATGGATCATCCTAAGCCTCTCAAGTTTAAACATCACTATGCATTTCTCATTTTGGTTTAATACTTTCTTTTCTCAAAACTCTTGTGAGGAAAACACATATGTGGACTTTGATAATTACAGAAATCCAAAAGAAAATAAATAAATTAAAAAAATATCAGAAATAACTTTTAGTTTCATTTCTCTCTTTATTTTTTTTTTATTTTTACTTTTTTCTCTAGAAAGGCAATAAAGATGATTGTCTCATCTAACATTTTATAGAAAGAAAAAAACACATGTAATTATTGTCTATAATATAAACTAAACGAAAAACTCTAAGAATACTATAAAGATAACTTCATTTCAACAAGTATGAGAAAGAAGATTCTAAGAATACTATAATAATAACATGTATGATCTAAATCTCATTTGTATTTGCTTCGATTTCTAAACTGAAAGACTGATAACGTCATAGCTTCTATTTCTTTTATGCATTTGAATAATAGTAAGTCTTTTATCATAAAAAACGAAGATAAAAATTGCATTGTAGTTCAGGGTGAGTGACGAGTGCCTTGGTTAGATACATCACAAAAATTACACAAAAATACAAGATAATCCAGAAATACTGATACTTTCGTATATAACTTTGAATAATTAGTGTGTTAAAAAAAAAACTTTGAATAATTAGTCAAGAATCAAAGAGATAAAAAGTGGAATAATACCATATGTGCCACTTGCACTGTTTCATACAAATGAGTCATATTTCATAAACTGGTACAAGAAGAAAACATATTCCATTTTGAGCATTCTGAATTTCAATCATGAATATTTTTCTTCTTCATTTTTTTCTTTATCAAATTTTTCGTACCTATATTATTATTTTCTGAATGCCTTTTTATTTTTCTTCTAGAATCTGTACCATAAGACAGACACATTTAAAAGTATATATAAGTTAAGATTTTAAATAGCATTAAAGCAAGCTTGATCGCAAATATTTATTTTACTTTCTTATTAACAAATATTTATTTTGTATAAGCGATGGTATATGTTTTTTAAAAAAATTACCCATATTAAATAACTACTTAATATAATGTTTCTATACACAATAATTTTATATTTATATTTGTATTTTATTTTTCGCAAACCGTCAATTGTATCATTCAAATTTTTTAAAATAACATGTGTATCTGCACATGTATTTTTATTTTTTTATATATCAAAATTTGATGATAATGTATAGTAAAATTATTTTATAAACTATTTAAAATATGGTGTTATATATTTTACATTCTTCAGTATTTATCCTATTAAATTTATATTAGATGATCCACATCACTATGCATTTCTCATTTTGGTTTAATGCTTTCTTTTCTTAAAACATTTGTGTGGAAAACACATATGTAGACTTATTAGTAAATCTTTTGAGACAATCATCAGCCGCTTGATCACCTAGTGTACCATGAGGTCATGCAAGCAAACATAAGAGAGAAATCGACAATAACAAACAATCAAACATAAGAGAGAGGATTACAATAGGGTAACATAACACAAAATCACTACAACACAAAACATAAGAGAAGATTTGACAATAACAAAAATATGATCAAGAGAATAGTTTACTAGGGTAATTGAACGGGCGATGGATCTTGAAGCTTCCTTCAGTCAATGGATTTGGATCTTCATTTTGTGGCACATCGTCCTCACTATAACCAACAAACACATGAAGGTCGAGTAAGTATGTGTAGCCTCTTAGACGAAACTGAATCATATCGAATATTCCATAAGTGGGAACACATGTTTTCATACTCCAAGCAGGTGATTGAGTTACTACTTTTTAGTTTTTCAAACAAAATTTCATCTTCCTCAGTTAGGTCTAGAGGTGATTTGAACTGTCTTCCTACTTTCATATTCGTATCAACAAACCTAAAAAAAAAAATTGAATTTGCCATCACTTGTTATGATGATAAACCCGAACTGACCGTGCGTGTTCTTAAAGAAACATGCAGCATATGTTTGATTGGATCTAAGAGTGTCTTCATCACGTTATGTCGACATTTGGTAAACAAATCTTCTATCAATTCTCTTTGGTTTAATCAAAACACAAGTTTTTATTTAAGAATTACATAGAAAGACTGATGATTATGTCAGCCATATGTTTCATGTGTTGAAACCGATTTCAACTCCTTAATGATATTGAAATTTTTGATGAAGTTCACTCAAAAAGGTTTAGATTTTCATTTTTTTTTAAATATTCAATTTTTTATTTATTTTTTCCTAGAAATCTCATCGAGTTTCTCATTTTATACTCTGCACAAAAGTTGCATGTTTATTCTTCTTACACTCACCAATCTATTTGATTTGCTATTAAATACTTTTGTTAATATCCTCTCAAGTTTAAACATCACTATACATTTCTCATTTTAGTTTAATACTTTCTTTTCTCGAAACTCTTGTGAGGAAAACACATATGTGGACTTTGATAATTACATAAATCCAAAAGAAAACAAATAAATTAGAAAAAGATCAGAAATAACTTTTAGTTTCATTCTCTTTTTATTTGTACTTTTTTTCTCTAGAAAGGCAATAAAGATGATTGTCTCATCTAACATTTTATAGAAAGAAAAAAAAACACACATGAAATTAGTTGTCTACAATATAAACTAAATGAAAAACTCTAAGAATACTATAAAGATAACTTCATTTCAACAAGTATGAGAAAGAAGATTCTAAGAATACTAGAATAATAACATGTATGATTTAAATCTCATTTGTATTTGCTTCGATTTCTAAACTGTAAGACTGATAACGTCACATCTTCTATTTCTTTTATGCATGTGAATAGAAAGCTTTTTGTAAAAAAACGAAGATAATATGACTCAAATCAGTTGTACTTATAAGATAAACTCATATAGTAGAGAAATGTTGTCACTAAAAAAAAAAAAGTAGAGAAATGAAAAACAATTCCATAGTTTCGGCCCATAAAACACTCATACTGGGCCACAAAAACCCAAATGTTATGAAACTAATAACGAGTCATCAAGTTTTACACGAGTGGCGCGAGTTTTATCGCTTTCATCGTCGGAAGAAAAACCTTTCAACGATGACAGACATGGAGATTAGGGAAGACTACAAATTCCTGAGAGTCGCTGACGCTTTCAAGGCATTGCATCTCAATATCAGCCTCATCGGAGTCATCGTCGAGTTAGGTTTCCCCACCGCCTCCGGTAATCGTTAATCCCTCTCCCTTAAACCCTTCGCAAAACCCCCAATAGCTTCGTCAATCGTCACTGAATGATTTAACTCGTTTTCAGATTGTTCATGTACGTTGAAAATCATCGATCCATGGCACTCGGGATCTGGCCTTCCTGTAAAGTTCATCGCTCGTAGCAATCGATCGCTTCCTCGAGTTGAATCGATTGGGGATATAATCTTCCTCTCACGTGTGAAGGTGCGAGTCACACACCGTTCGTGTCGGTTGTAGATTTTTTTTCGGGATTTTAAAAGTTTATTTGTTGTTGAAAACGCAGATTGTGATTGTTAATGGGAAGATAACTGCTCTTTGTAATGAGACATCTTCTTCGTTTGCTTTATTCAACGGGAAGCATGGAGAGGATTTTGTAGCGTATCAGTCTTCACCTAAGTTTCAGATGAGAGATCAGGATAAGAGATTTTTATCAAGTCTTAGAGAATGGATGATAACTTATAAGTTTGACGATGGTAAGCATGAGAACGTAGCAGTTGTTAAGCTATCTAATGCATTTTCATATCAGATTGCTAGCGAATGATGTTGTTCATATTCAATTGGTTGATTCTTGTATGGAATGTCTTTGTAAGTTTCAGTTGTTTCAAGGTTGAAGTTTTATTTATTTTGCTTTGGTTTATGGTAGGGTCATGTTGTTTCACATCCCTGAAAGATATCAAAGAAGGGGAATACTTAAACCTTAGTTGCCAGGTAGATTGTATTGGTCTAATCTTGGACGTGTTTATATTGGAGATTATGTTCTGCCATGTCTTTTGACATTGTTTCTCATTTTTTTCTTGCCACTCAAAGATTGTTCACATTTCCAAGGACGATAAAGATAGGTGTTACATCTTCGTTTGGGATGGAACTGAGATGCCGCCGTGCAGTTTCTTGGTAAAGTAAGTCTCTATGCTTCACCCATTTCAGCTTTATAGATTTTCTTTTGAACTTTGGTTTTGAGATCCCATTTTTTGTATTCCATTTAGATTTCCTCGTGCATAGCTACTCTTTTCCCTAGCGTCATATATCCAAACGTAGTGTGTTGGTTCTTGGGAGCTCAGTGTTTTGTCTTGCAATTTTGACATCGTAACAGGTCAGGAAGGCTTCCTTTATGTGTTGAACCAGAAATGCTGCCTACTCATGTGCTACGCAAGTTTCCTACTTTTGGTTCAGTCCTGAGGATCATAGTAGAGAATGTTACTGAGAAGCAGGCCATTCAGTGTCTTCAACCTGGTCAACCCGTAAAGTTTCTGAACCTGTTCTTCCAAGTAAATATGGGATTATGGAGCGCCACATTTAGTCCCTCTACGAAGATGCAGTACACAATGAGCAGAGAAATGCAATCCTTTTCACCTCGAAGGTTTGTCTCTTTCACTTTTTTCTCATCCTGTTATCTTATTGTTCTTACGGATTCAACAAAGATTTCTTGCAAATTTCAAAATGTGCAGAGAAAAGTTCTCTTCGACATGGAACCCCATCACACGCTGTATTAGTAGCCCTTCTCACTCAGGAATCACAGGTTATAACACATAGATTATTTTCTTGAGCTTTCGACTTCACTTAGCATAATGTTGAAGGTTATTTTGGTAATATATTTTTAGGGGTTGCCCATGAGGACGCTCCTTTTGTTACTCTGATGGACATCCTGACCTATAGCAATGTATTTGTAACCCAAAAGCTATCATTTACTCTTTCAATGTAGAAAAAGAAAAAATTAATGAAGACTTTCTAAACTTGATGTATAGCTATGCTTATGCAGGTGACTGCTAAATTCAAGTGTGTTGTTCGGTTCATACAAGTGTTTCCTAGAGATGTCAGAAAGTTCCACGATTTGAAAGGAAAATTCAAACTGCTAGCAATACTAGAAGATGCAACCGCCAGAATCCAAGCTTCTCTATATGCTGATGAAGGGGTAAAAAAATACTATCCGCTGTTATGTTCCGAGGATTCCTTCAAGGGATTGTCTTATATATATGTATCTGACATTATGACAGGATAAGTTTTTCGGGTGTGACCCATCCGATGAAGAGGCTCTGATCAAGAAGCTGAATAGATTGTTGGGAGGTGATGGGATGAACGAAGCTCCAAGAAATCCTCCATGGGTGCAGTGTTGCTTGTTCTCTTACTACAGAAACAAGAATGATCAATGGGGAAGCAGAAGATTCCGGATTTATGATACGTGGATCAGTGACAGCCATGACATAAATTATTGTTAACACTAATTCAATTTGCAAGTGTAGGTGTTTAAGCACGATTAGTTTTAGTAAACTGATCAGTGATGGAAGTAGTCACTAGTTGTTGAATGAATGAGTGAGTCTTGATTAAATCTAATTGGTGCTCTGTGTTTAGGCCAGTAACTGGGAGACGTAATGAGAACTTGAGAGTAGTAGTTATGTGACAATCTGAGCAAGAGCAAGATTAAGGTTCCTAGAACTGTGTGAGCTTAGCGTCGGTGACGTGGAACTTGATGGCGTTTGGTCTGAAAATTAGCCACATCAACTAAATAAGAGATCGAAAGCGTTTTCTCTCCTCCCCCACCTTCTCACAAAGACATAATTAGAGTTTCTCTTGCTTCCGCATAGTAATGTGCCAATGACATGTTATCCTTCTTTAGAAACCCGGCTTTTCCCCATAACTTCTGTTTGTTTGCTGGAATTTGGATCTTCCTAGCTATTTTCTCCTTCAGACTTGCCACATTTTTTGATAACGACTGCAGAGTGATCTCAATGACTTGCCCACTCTCCACGTTTGGAGTAGAAACCCTGATCATAACAGAATCCTGAAAATGTGCGATTGGTAATCATTAATCAATACAAGTCAAGTCAGACAGGAAAAAAATAAACAGGGAAAAATGTTAACCGAATGTTGAGCGAGAAACTGGTCGTTTGGAACAAGTGCTGATTTATCAAGCTTGTCTCTTTGGAAGCGGCACCGGTAAATAAGGTTGCATTTGTGTTGGTGCCGATGAAAAACATCCATGTGGTGTCAACTCTTGATCCTCCCTGTTAGCAAAATAGTCAAGCGCACCCACGAAAGAATGCAAATCACTCTCCGATATTTCCACTCCCACCTCTACCTCCTGATTTTCCCCTTGAGGACAGCTCTCTCCGGACAAGTACATGAAGGCATTAATACTTTCGAGTAAGCAGCAACAAGCCGATAGAAAAAGCTGTACCTACCTTCTGACATGGTAAACTCGAACAGAGAGTTTAGATGAGAGTTCTCGATTATAGCCACTCTCCTTATCAAAGCCATCCAGAATGCATACCCATACCTCACATAAAACTGTGCTGTGACTTTGATAATACCAAGCTGCCTACGTGTGATCCCTTTAGGATATGTAAATGGATATTCGCGAGGTATTAGAGGATCAGGATCCGTAAATAGAGGAACGGGTTGGCCTTGTGCATCATCATTAGTTGGAGGAGAATCAAGCATACCATCAGACAACATTTTTGCTGAAATTCGTCCAGGTAGTTTCCACTTTCCATCATCACTGCAAGCAAAATAGTCAAGACATCCTGATAAATCATGCAGATCAAAAACAGCCCTCTCTATCTCTATCTCTACTCCCTCCTCCTCATCTTGCTTTTTCCCTTGAAGAATATTGAAAAACCCTTGGAGAAATGATTCTTTGCAAGCATGTTGTTTAGGTTTACTAGGTGGCCGCTTCCAATAAGGCGTTAAAATCTTACCATAAGCATCAACAAGGTCGAGTAAAACATTAAATCTGTAATCACTTGCATTGATAAAGGAAAGCTGAGGGTTTGGGTTCATAGTAACACTTTTCAACAAATCTGACCAGAAATACCTCCCGTAACGCACCACAAACTGAGCTGTGAGTTTAATAACGCCAAAATCCTTGGGCGACATTCCTTCAGGACACTTAATTTTTAGAGTTGGAGGTTGTGCAACATTATTAGTAGGACCAAAAGGTTTGATAACCTTTTTCCGCTGAGCATTTCGGTATTCAACAATCTTGTTCCGGTAAAATGTGTGATAATGGTGGTCTGGGCTCCTTAGAAATTTGTATAGTTTATTATCCGTATTATACTTCAAGAACCTGCTCTCCAACCACAACCCATGCTTGGCGACCAAACGTGCAGTTCCCTCCATAATAAACCTGACTTCTGGATCAATGTTCGGATCATCCTTACTTGAACTGGCCATCTTTTTATTAAAAAAAAAAAAAAAGAACAGAAGAGCACTAAAATCAGATTTTTCCAATTTCTTAATGTTTTGGAGGATAGATTATTTATTATTTATAGCTGTGTAAAGTAAATGTAAATCTGAATATATAAAACTATATATGGAGCTCCAGAAATATTGGAAACTTATGCAGCTCTGGTTGAAGTTTTCTTCATTGTGTGTTACGCATTTCTATCCTAGGAAGCCTCTTCATTGCTTTTTTTGGTCAACAAACGGTTTAACCGCTTCTCTCGTGTACTTGTACAGTTATGCTTTAATTCACACATTTATCAGAAGAAAAAAAACTATTTTATGTACATGTAACCATACGATAAAAGATTATTACACAAGACATATACCTCTCCAACGATATCATAGAAAGTCCACGTACGAAAATAATGAAGATAAACAAGTGTAAATAAATGGAAACGGAATACGGAGACAATATATCATTTGACTATGACTAGAATCAAAAGTCAATGTCACACTTGGTCCTCTGGAACTGAAACCCGCCGGTTGAATTAGAGGAACTGAGAGGAACCTTGAGATCACACCTAACCTTAGGCTTGAACCTCCACGACTTGATCAACCCAAACTTAAACCTAACCCTAAGCCTCAGCTTCGCATCAATCCTGTATATCCCCGACTTCAAATCCTCGTCTAGATCCTCCCTATCTCCGCGGTTAAGCAACACCAAGCCCTGTCCCACGAGTTTACTCCCCACCTCCGTCGTGTTCTTATGCCCCTGATAAAACGGCGCCACGTTACCGGAACCGAATCTTTGGTCTCCGTAGTATCCTCTGACTTCGATCTGGTCGTAGTAAACACCGATCCGTTTGTTAGGGTTTCTGATGGTGAAATTGAGGTCGAGGTTGTACTGGAGGTTGTTGTCTGCGCCGAGTGTGAACTGTGTGAGCTTAGCGTCGGTGACGTGGAATTTAATCGCGTTTGGTCGGAAAATTAGCCAGATGATCAGAGCGGCTATGCCTGCGATGATGGCTAGGGTTATGAGGATGTTGAAGATGACGCTTAAGATGCAGCAGCCGCAGCAGCCGAGACAGTCACCTAAACAGCTGCAGCAGCATCCACCGCCGCCTCTGCCGTGGCTGTGAGAGACTTTTCTCGGCGGAGGAATCGATGGTCCGTAGTAGGCGCCGTTCAAGCCCTGTTGTCTGTCTCCCATGTGATCGATGAAGCGTCTCTGAAGAAAGTTTCTTTTTTTGTGTAAATGATTTGAAAAAGTGATAAGAGAGAAAGTGAAAATGGAATTGTTAATTGTTATTAGGTGAAGGAAGAAAAGGTGTGTATAAATACACTGTAGAGATAACGTGTGTATTAGATAAAACGTTTAAATTTAACGCGGTTTTGTTTTTGAAAGTCAAAGGTGACGCGGCCGTTTAATATTGTAAGATAAATTTGATTAATAAGAGGTTACTTGCGAGTTACGGTATAGTTCTTACTTTTTAGATATTTAGGACAACAATTTAATAAACATTTTCAGATTTTTCTCATGTTCTTATGTTAATTTTTTCTTTAACTATTCATTATCATTGGTTAAGCACTTGTATGTTTCTTTTTATTCTAAGATAATTTTGGTGATTAGGTCTCTAATCCGTTAACTTAAATATCTATTCGCGAATATTTATATAATGACAAAGGATAAATATTACGTGGTGATGTGATGATCCTTAGTGCGGTAGTTGGTTTGAGATTTGTAAAACAGACTTTCCAAGAAACTTCCATAAAAGCGACTGCTCTAAGATAGCCATGTTATTATTTTCTTTTTTTGAAACTATGTTATTGTTTTCGGATCTTTACTAAAGACTTTAAAGCATCAGTTATAAACTGAAAGACGAATACCAGAAAGTCTATACAAACTACAAACAAACCTGTCCGGGTCCGAAATTGAGAAACTATGGAAAACAATTAGAGAGAAAGCAGTTATTCAATAAAAAAATGTCAATTATCTTGACAACATGAGGAGTGGCAGAAAAAAAATGGCTTCAATTCTACAGATAATATTTTTTTTTAAATTTCGATTAACGAAAATGTCAATATTTCTCAGCTTCAAAGAAAATAGAGCATAGCAAAGACTTGTAATGTTTTAATGCTAAAAGCAATAAATGAAGGAAAGTTGGTGTTGAAGATGGATGTTGTGACCTTTATTTGCAAACGAAGATTAGGTAAAGGTATGCTTTCAAATGCTACATCTTTCTTAAATAAGAAAGGTCAAGCAAATTTTATATATAAAATAAAAACAAGTAGATTGCAACTCAACTATATTATATTTTAAAAATATTTGAATAAGAGAGATATTGTACTTTACTAGGCTATTTTCTTAAATATTAAGAATCAATTCTAAACATGACGATTTTCTACATTTTAATTAGTTGATTGACTTTATTGATTAACAACAATATTTTAAACACAAACATGATTATCAAACTAGTTAGATTATAAATTTTGAAAGAGGGATAAAATGCCTTTGTCGAGAGGTGTTGTATGGATTCGGTCAGCTTGATTACCCTGTTGCTTTCATTTTAGTTTTAATTCGAAAACTGCTTACTTTTCTTTCATTATGGGTTTGTTTGGATGAAGTAGTTCAATGGAATTCGTGTAGAACCTGTGTCAAAACCACATCCCTTATATATTAAAAGAGAAGCATTTTGCATTAAATGTTTTCACACCACCTTCTTACAATTTATTACCTTATTTACTACTTTCTCACAATTTATTACCTTATTTACTACCTTCTCACAATATATTACCTTATTTACTTCAACAATTGTTTACCTTATTTACTTCAATTATAAAACACACGAGATACTTTAAAACTACAAAGTTCAATATCGCGTGAGACAAGTTCGGAGGTAAGTGAATTGGCTTGAGGGTCGATGTCAAAGTTCTGGAACGTCATTATTTGAGAGGTGGGACGTATCTAAGATGATGGATGTGAAGGGCAACGTACCGGAGCCCATGAACACGATCTTGGTTTGGACATGGCTCGTGTGTAGCGTGAAGAGATTGAACTCAACTTTGCTAAGTTTGAGGTAGTTAGTGTACTGAGGGTAGATCTAAATGGTGAAGTGTGTTGTCTTCGAGAGATCCCAAGGCCGTATAGTAGTGGTGCTCTGAAAACTCTATATCTTCACTACGTAGGTTGGTGAGATTGGTTCTGTAGTTTTGGACTTTTGGGTACAAGTTTTTAACGTCGATATTTGTATCCATAGGCAAGGACGTGGACATAAGCTATTGAACAAATTGTCGACATATATATGTTTAAGTTTTAAGGCTCTTGAGATTGGAGATTTCGTTATACAAGTCGAGAATTTGCTTCTCGAAATGAGCCTTTTGGTTACCCATCTCGAGACTAGAAGGAGATTTGGGATTGTCTCAATACTCTTAAATGGTGTTCACAGTAATATACTTTCATCTTACGTGTGTCCATGTCGTGTGGATGACAAAAAAAAATAGATATATGTTCTGTGAGTTATACGTATGAAAAAACGTATAGTGAGGGTAGATCTAAATGGTGAAGTGTGTTGTCTTCGAGAGATCCCAAGGCCGTATAGTAGTGGTGCTCTGAATGCTCTATATCTTCACTACGTAGGTTGGTGAGATTGGTTCTGATTTTTTGGACTTTTGGGCACAAGTTTTCAACGTCGATATTTGTATCCATAGGCAAGGACGTGGACATGAGCTATTGAAAGAATTGTCGACATATATATGTGAAAGGTTTAAGGCTCTTGAGATTGGAGATTTCGTTATACAAGTCGATAATTTGCTTCTCGAAATGAGCCTTTTCGCAACCCATCTCGAGACTAAAAGGAGATTTGGGATTGTCTCAATACTCTTAATGGTGTTGACAGTAATATACTTTCATTTTACGTGTGTCCATGTCGTGTGGATGACAAAAAAAACAGATATATGAGACAAAAGTTATACGTTTTAAAAAAACGTATATCAACCGGAATAATGTTTTCTTCATGATCTTTAATTGGAGTATTACTTTTTCGTCTCTATCAACTTAACCAAAAAGACAATATTTATAATATAGATATATAATTAGACGATATTAAAACCCGAAACAACCAATCCAAAACAAACTATTATGCAAATAAAACAGATATAGTGTCTTCTTATCTTCAAAAATAGAACAAATTTAATCATCTCATTCCGCGCAAGGCGCGGGTATAATCCTAGTTATAGATTAATAAAGGTTCTACACATTCAATGTGGTTTTGACACGGTAATCACTGACAACGAAATTCATATCTTAAAACCTCACTAGACTTTCTGTTTTTGGTAACAATTATTCGAATATGGAATGCAATTATTATGACTCCAAACCTACCATGATCACCGTTAGTATAATTTCAAAATTGCATAGTAGTCAATGACACGAAAATATCATTAGCCAAAACAACTTGTTAATCGTTTACGACCTTATTTTGCAACCTGCTCTCAAACTAAGAGTGAATATGAAAAACTAATAGAAATGTGAAAAATCTTTTCTCCCCTTTTCCATTTTAAAAGTGGTATTAAGGTTTACTATATTCATTCCAATTCCTATGGAGCTTTTTCAGATTTGCAAAACTTAGAGATTTCAGTTTTACTGCCCTCGTCGCCTCTCACCATGAATATTTGATAAGAGGGATTATACGACGGCGTTTAGCTGTTTAAGGGTAGTGTCGTAATAATATCCATTTATCGCTTCTGAGAAAATAGAGATATCTCTCCGAGTGTTTATTGTTCTAAAGAATAGTTACCCGCCGCCATGGCCGTTACGGCGTCTGGATTCATCGGCAAATCAGCAATCTCCGTTAGAGTAGACTTCTCCTCTGTTCCCGCCAAACTCTCATACTTGAAACGCTCCTTCTGCGCCTCAAAGCCTCTGGTGGTACAATCCGTCGCCTTATCGCCGCCGGCGAGAACAGTCGAGTCACCGCCGGTTGGTTACCGGAAAAACGTAGGGATTTGTCTCGTTAGTCCTTGTAGAAAGGTAGTTTCCTTCGTCTTATCTCTATAAATTCTCGCATTTAGGTGAGATTTCGTTTGATAAATTGGGATTTAGGATTGAAATGGTTTTGGTTTTTTGGCAGATATTTACAGCATCAAAGATTCACGTTCCGGATACGTGGCAGATGCCTCAGGTGAATACACTCTTTAGCTCTTTTAGTACTTTGATTGCTCACTTGTCACTAAGCAAAAGCTATTTTTGTAGTGTAATGAGTTAAGTAAATATCTTTTATAGCTTTGGATTAAAGTTATGGCAAATGTTTAATCAAATATAGAATGACATTGAGGTTCTCTGAGTCCCTATGGTGATAATTAACTCACTGAGGATGTGATAGATTTTGATAAAAGTAGATTGGAATGTAGAATGATAAGTTTGTGATCCTCTCTAGGGTTATCAGTTAGCTAGGTGTTAATGAACTACTTACTGTTTTTATAGGGTGGTGCTGATGAAGGAGAAGATTTGAGAAACGCTGCTTTTAGAGAACTGAGAGAAGAAACAGGGGTTACCTCTGCTGAATTCATTGCTGAGGCACGCTTTTGACATCTCTTTCTTTCTATCTCTTATAGTAAAGTTGTTATATCTATTTTCATAGGTTTTATTGATAGAGTTTGGATCTGTGTAGAGTGTAGTGTGAATCATCAAACTGAGCTTTGAGTATTTTTTTTTTGTTTGCATGTAGATACCAAACTGGCTCACCTATGATTTTCCTCGAGATGTGAAGGATAAACTGAATCGGAAATGGCGAACAAGTTACAAAGGCCAAGCTCAGAAATGGTAAACTAAGCTTCTATACATATATCTTAAATCTGCAAATTATCCCGTCTAATATACTTAACTGTCTTGATGATGGATTGATTGATTGATACAGGTTTCTTTTCAAATTCACGGGTAAGGAGGAAGAGATAAATCTCCTAGGAGATGGTACTGCAAAACCTGAGTTTAAGGTGTGGTCGTGGATGCTACCCGAACAAGTCATTGAACATGTGAGAGAGTTTCTTTGGCAGTAGAGTGTTATTTTGCTTTTCTATGTGCTTGAAACTTGTTGGCCTTATCATTCGTTTTTTTCTTCTATGGCAGGCTGTATATTTCAAGAGACCCGTCTACGAGCATGTCATAAATCAATTCAATCCTTACTTTGTGGATGAAGAAGAGAAGGATTCCATGAATTCGTGCAAGGATTAAATGTACACGCGATTGGTAAAAAAAAGAGTTAATACTGATTAGGAAGAAATCAATCAATCATTATA